GTGTGTGTGTGTGTGTGTGTGTGTGTGTGTGTGTGTGTGTGTGTGTGTGTGTGTGTGTGTGTGTGTGTGTGTGTGTGTGTGTGCATTTCCATACGCATTTTTAATGAGATTAAGATTGAAATTTAAATTTGATATGTTGGAAATTTTAGAAATAGGAAAAACAAGAAAGAGAAGGGAGGTAAATGACGGAGATCAAATTTCCCTTAGAGAAGATTAAGAAAGATTTTGAAAGTAATACTGGAATAATAGTAATCATAATAATGATATCATTCTATTTGTATTATTGATTTCAAATATTGAAAAATTCATTCACAATTAATTTTAAATTTCAAATAATTCAAAAATATCGGCGTAGAACGACAAGGAATTAAGTGAAATATGTAAATTAATGACCAGATATGCATTTAAAGGGATTGAAAATCAATAAAGTTGAGTAACTTTATCTTCTATTGACGATACTTGAAGCTTTAACAGAGTCAGATTACGTGCTGTTTTTTTTTATTCGAATTTAACGGTCATTTTTATGGTCATTTCTGACTCATTTACTTTGAATATAGAAGAAAAAGAGAGATTACTAAAGATGAGAGAAATAAGCCATAAACTTTTATGTCAACTAAAACCATCCTAAATGATTTTCATTTTTTAAATCCCTATTTTGGTGTAAATTTCGCAGAATTGGATTTTCTTTTTGTTTGTTTGGAGAAAAAAAAAAGAAAAAAACAATTCAAGCAACATCAAGAACGATCGCTTCGAGTAAATCGAAAAAAAGAGACCAGTTTTATAAGTTCCAATTCTTTTATAACAGTAATATTGAAAAGAAATAATTAAAACAACAAACGAAGTCAAATCAGAAATATATTTGAAATGAAATACTTGATAAGAACAGATTAAGGATGCTAACAAATTAGTCTTCGCTATAACACTAAAATATTTAATTAATTATTTTCTCCAACAAAAAGACTTTTAATAACCCATATTAAAAAGATAATGGAAATGTTTTAAAATTATAGTTTAAAAAATGATCGAAAGGTAAATTAAATTGCATAAGAGACCATATAATAGTAAGATTTGAATATTTCAAGCAAAAGAGTAAAGGAATGAAAAAAAAATGAGAGGAAAGTAGTTCTATTTTAGTATGACTATCAAAAGATTTGGTAAAACATCTGGAAACAATTAGGATAAATGTCGAACAGTATCGACGATTACTCGTAAAGAAAAAAAAAGAAATTGGGTAGGAAAAAAAGTATTTATTTTGAGATTTAAAATGATGAGAAAAAATTATATTTGATTATTTTAAGCTTTCAAGAATTCCCGGGTGAAAAAAAAACGAAACAATAATAACATGTATGATGAAGTGTTGCTTAATCAATAAGTTTCAATTGCAAGAATGATTTAATACAGTAGGAATAAAAGTATGAATAAAAGAACAATAATATTAAACAGAAAGCGAAGAATAGATAAGATATATTGCTGCAATAACTTTTGCCTCAAATATTTGAACAAATTAGAATAAATTATTCAAGCTTAGAAGATCAATTGGTTATTATTGGTAAGTAATATGTTGGGACCTGTTTATCTCTCCATCATTTGTCCTCGTCTTTTTTGTCCTGATTCTTGGTCATTATTTTATTATTAGGGCAATACCTCATTAAATCCTTACTGGAAATACTTAATCGATTCGGATCCAAGCAATGACAGAAATTGTTAAGTCATGCGGACAATGTCCGTTATTGTGACAGTAACAACAACAACAGCAACTAAAACAGCAACAACAACAACAACACTACTACTACTACTACTACTACTACTACTACTACTACTACTACTACTACTACTACTACTACTACAATAACCATTGAAAGGACAGCAATAACAACAATAACATATATTAGTTATTGGATGGAATCAACATCAACAATAACTGTTTTATCATAAATCATTTCAAACAAATCATTAACACATACGACACACGATGTCTTAGATAGGTTGACAAATGACACTTAACGTTGATGGGTGGAATAACGCATCAGAAAGATAATAAATTACCGTCTTTTTATCCTATTCACAGTCTAACAAATATTTAGGTCACATTTTACATAATTGGAAATTGTCAATAATTTGAAGTAAAACCATAAGCTGATATTACTATTTGTTGGAAGTAATATGCTACTGGCGTAAACCAATATCCCTTACTATTATGCTAATTACTTATAATTAAATTTGCATATGGTTAAATTATGAACACGGAATTCATAAGATAACATAGATCATAGATCCTTTTGTCATATTTCATCCTCATTTTATGGTCAGGAATTTGATAATGCTATATGCAAATTTAAGAATATATTCTATTCATAACATCCCTAAGTGGAATAAAATGCTTGTAAACTTTTACAGGATAATGAAGAAAGAGTAAAATATTGGATTCAAACTGCAAAAAAAAAAATAATGTCATGGAAGATAATACATGTTGCCGGAAAAAAATAATACAAAAAAAAGTGATACATGATTACTTTTCTCATTATACATCACAGATTAAATTTATTTCCTCTTTTAACTTTAAAAGAATTTTTTCGTTATTTTGCTAATTTTATTTATTCAATTTACGCAGACAAAATCTTTTTTTTAGCCAAAATGTTTAGAATTGCAGTGACAATTAATTAGTAATACTAAAAAAGAAAACAAGAAAATTAAGAAACTCAATTAATTTATGCATTCTATGCCATATATAAGATACAATAAAAAGTATGATTTTTTTTGATAGGTGTGAAGAAAAAAAATCCCATCGATTCTGATTAGATTTTTGGCGATGATTAGATCGAAAATATCCCGGGATAGAATAATGGTATACGATAGAATGAATATACAACAGCTGCGCCAAATTTATGCTTTCATTTTTTGAATAATTAATAGGACGGTGTATTTTTTTTCCCAAGGAAAAAAAGAAATAGGATGATGTCAAGTTATACTTACTCTTTCATGCATAAATACAAATAGTAATTGGTATTTTCGAATTCTTTTCATTCTTTATTTTCTTTTTTTTCACACTGAAATTTATTAGTCGTTTTAATTAGCCGATTAAAAAAAATTATTTAATTAAATAATTGTCAAAAAAAAAGAAAGGAATAGGAAACATTCTTTAGAATGACAAAAACATTTATTTCACATATATAATCATCAAATATTCCGTAAAATTTCATCCCTCGTTTCACATTAATATTTATTTAATTATTAATTTGTCGTTTTAAATATGTATTTTTTTGTGTCATCAAATAACCGTCACCTTTTTGTTTGATTTAGTCAAAAGAATTTTACAGTTTTAAATTTTTTTAAAAACTTTCAAATTTCTGCTAAAATTGGAAAGAATAATAATAGGGCCACTTGTTCAACAGGTTTCTTTTGTCTTTTTTTATTTCATTGATTCTTACACTATTCATGACAATAGTTCTAATAATATTCTTGATAATAACTTCCTCCTAGTAAAGGAAAAAAAGAAACCAATTTTACAATTTAATACATTAAAATGGAAGCTTTTCAAATACACTTTAAATATGTATTTTAGTAATAAATTGAATTTTAATTAAATTACAAATTTCACCAAACCGCTTCTATCACAAATAGTTTTTTGTTAGATCTTACAGAATCGTTATAATTGCAAAAATAATATTGTACTATCAATTGTTAACAATCTAAAGGAAAAAAAGAAATTAAGTAGTTTCGTTTTCATTTAATTACTGAAAACTGTCCTGCGACATTTGATTTATTTATTGAAAAGAACAATAAATTATTGAAAAATATAAACATTTAAACGAAATTACTTTTTAAGTTTTGTTTTTAAACCGATCCGAAAGGAAAGGATAAGATGAGTGACGAAATTTTTTCCTATAAGCATATCAAGAACTTTGTCACCTATCTTACTTTATCCTTTCGGATCGGTTTAAAAATAAATTTAGTTAAAATTTTGTATAAATGTTTGTGCTACGGATATATTATGTTTTCGTCTTCAAAATATTTGTTAACATTTCTCTTTTTTAACAGCATGGCTAAATTTTTAAAATGAATAATTTGAATGGTTAAATTTTTAAAATCAGTAACTTAAACATAAAGTGAATGACTTTTTAAAATGAATAATATGTAAATTATTTTCTTGCTCATAACATGCTAATTTTATTCTTGTTTCTTCTATCATTCCTCAATTATTTATTTCAGTTTTCATTGATTTTAGACAACACGATAAATCAAAGAAAAAAATGATTGATAAAAATTATATTAATGAAACGAAAAGAGAAATAATCAAATACAACATACATTATCAAATTTTTATCGGAAAAAATTTGAAAAATTTGTTTCATTATGTCATTTTTGTCAATTCAAAAAGAAAAACTGAAACAAATTAAAATGATAAAGAAAAAGTAAACTTATTAAGAAGTAAATTAAAAAGTAAACTTATAGAAAAAGTAAACTTATTTATTACAGTCTAATTTCACTTCTTTTGTATTACATGTTGTGGCGCAAAAATTGATGTTATTTTGTTATGCAATTATTTATATACCATTATCATTAGGTATAACTGATAAAACAAATAAACGACCATATTGGATGATGGGAATTCCATCATAAAGAATGATTTTTTTTCTTTTTTATAAATTTCTGTACCATTCAAGAGACCTGTGGTAGTATTTCTGCAATACTGAAAAGATCCTTTAATTCTTTTTTCTTTTTAAGATAAGTTAAAAGATTTGCCAAAATTTTGTCAATATCGATTCAAGTTCAAATCTCCCAACTTAAAAGAATTAAATTATTCGTCGGTTGGATAATGCAATCTTAATTTGTCCAAAAAATTTCCATCTTTTATGTTTTTTTTTTCATTTTACGTTATTTTTTGTAACATTATTCTTCAATGTTTGTCACGAGTATTTTTAATTCTTCAGCATTTGTCATCAATATTTACATTTATTGTTGACAAGTTTTAAATTTCAAGAAGTAAATAGAATAAAAAAAACTTATTTCTCTCTTTCATGAATTCGAAATTTGAAAGCAAAACGTTTTAATCTATGACTAGACGATGAAAAAAAGTGTGTTTGACTAGAAATGACAAATAAAATTTGTCGTTTAGTGAATTAAAAGAATGATTGAAGTTGTCATTGAAAATAAATTTTCATGAATAACTATAGCGGCATGTGTTACTGAAATACAATTATACTTTTGAAATTTTTTAAAAAGAGAATGAAATTAATCAAATATAAATTAGAAATGTAATTTTTGCTGATATATTTGTGAAATATTTGAATATAATTAGAAAAGAAAAGTTTCTGACCATTAAAATGGTTTATCATTAAATTGAATTAACAGTAAATATTTTCATAACGGCAGGTATTTTTTTACGAATCAACTGCAATGGAATTTCTTGATAAACTTTTGAACGGATGAAATGTTGGCTATTGCTTTCATAATTAATTACCGTAATTATCATGATAATAAGTGCGTAAGACAAAAAAAAAAAAAACAATGAAATGAGTTAATTACTTTAAAAGCCAATTTTCATGTTAAATAAATTACACGTTATTCTTAAATAATTCAATTGAAATTGATAAAATAATGAATCGGTCATAGTATGCATTTTAGAAAAAGTAAATCCGCCTGATGAACTTTGTTTATGGAATAATGGAAGGATTTTTTTTTTTTTTGCTTATTGCATTATTGATTCTTTTCTAAAAAACTCATTAACAATAAGTAAGCCGTTATGAGTTTTTTTTTTTTTCAAGCATATTGTAAGAGGAAATTAATCGTTAATAGTTCAATTAGTTTCTCTTTAAAAAGAAAGAAATATTTCCGTAAAAGAATTATTCGCAGGAAATAAAATATTGAGATTAGTTGGAATTTATAAAATCTTCATTGCCATCAAATGCAAATGTTGTTAGGTGAAAAAATATTAATTCCCTTTGAAATTTGCAACATCCAAATTGATCAATTAAAACTAGAAAATAAATAAACGAAAACTAAAAATAAAACCAACAATAAATAAATGATAACTAAAAATTAAACTGCAAAGTAAGTAATCAAAAATTAAAAATAAAACTAAAGTAAATAAGTGAAAATTAAAGATAAGACTAAAATAAAATGAAATAAACAAACGAAATATTGGGAAAACTTAAAATGGATTGGAATAATTGTCATTTCTCTAAAAGTATACAAATTATATTTTATAAAAGGTAAAAACAGTCGCTGTAAATAAAATAGTTTATATACCCATGTGATTTTCTCTTCTTCTTCTTTAATTTTTTCCCTTTCTTGACCTTCTTCTTCTTTTCTTCGTTGTTAACAATTTCCATTGACATTTTATTGAATTGAAATTTTGACATCATAAAATTCATTTTTTAACTTTTTAAATTTCTCCAAAATTTTTACTTTGCATGGTTCATTTATTATATCTTGATAAACCATAAAAATTGGAGCAATGTTGTGATAATAGAGAGTGATAACAAATATTGTGATAATGATGATAAAAAAATATTGTAATAATAGAAAGTGATAACAAATATTGTGATAATAAAGGCAAAAAAATACTGTGATAACAGAAGATAAGAAATTGCACTGATTTTACTTTTTACAAAATCTGAACAATTTAATTCCATTGTAATTAATGAGTTGAACTTGACCATTACTATCATTGTTATTATAAATATGGTTAATGTTACACTTTTTAATTTACAAAAAAAAAAAAAAAAAAAACAATTATTCTTCAACTATACCGTACTAATTGACTAATTAGTCAAGAATATGCATACTCTTCCAGATAGTTTCCAATTCTTATTGTACTCAATTTTGTTCATCCTTTAATTAAAATTAAAATTCCTCAATACTATGCATATGAACTTTCTCATAATCTCATCTTTTTGTTGCAAAACTTCTCATCTATCTTATAGACAATATCC